ATATATAAACTTGAATAAACCCACTAATATAAACTTAGTGGTCCAAATTGAATCTGAATCAATCTAACAAACACGTATGTTTGGTAGTATTTGAATTTTTATTTTTTTTACACCAATTTAAAATCACTTAAAATTTTAAACGTGTGTTTTTCTCATCAAGCTACACCTAATAAAAATATAAAAAAAATAATAATTCTTGAAAAATAAATTGATCAAAATACTTTCAAAACTTTTCGAAGGTATTTTGATCAATTTATTTTATGTAAAACATTTTTTTGATATTTTTCAAAAGTTCACCTACCGGACATCCATGATCGTCAGATCGACGCAAATTCAAACTAGGCCATTGCACTCACTTGTTCCTGTGAGCTACTTGTTCCTGTGAGCTAGTAGGCTCACCCTAACACACACACACACACATATATATATATATATATATATGGGCTGAATACCCACCCAAAAGCCCACCAATAATCCATTTAGAATCATGTAACCGGCCTGAAAATGGATTATGGGAACCAAACGCCTTTAAAAAGGCATATGACCCCCCTCTTCCAACATCTCTTAAAAAAAACACTCTTTTTTTAAACCTAAAAAGGGTTTTTGAATCCATCACGTGGCCACCCAACCACTATATGCTTCCCCACCCCCAACACACACAAAAACACTACATCTCTCTCTACAACGGTTTCCTTTTGAACCCCATCCCACAAAAAATACCCCATCCCTCTCTCTCTGTAATATCTATAGAACGGTTCCCTTATGAACTCCATAGTCTCTCTTCTCTCTCTCTCTCTCTCTCTACCTCTACTTTTTGCTATCAGTGTAGAGCTCAACACCAACCAATGGGTTTGAGAGCAAAAGAGGACGACTTCAGGAGTGTGTTGGGCCCTTGTCTGAATCCATGGCTTGAAGTGATAAGTGAATCAAGAACTTAACCACATTGCTTAGAAGTGATCTTTAAGGATTTCTTCATTGGTTTCCCATGAGGTCCCCCAACAAATTGCTTGCCCTGGTCTGAAACTCTTAATCCATGGCCACCAAAGATCACCTAATTCGAGGAAAAACAGAGTCCCTCAAATCCAAGATGAAGACTCTAAAGCTCCCTCAAAACCAAGATATAAATGTATATGAAAAACCAGTGATGAAACAAACTCAGGAGAAAACCACCAAAATTAGCAGTGAAACCCACCCAAACACTCCAAAAACCACCAACAGAAACCGGCCGAGAGGGAAGTCGAAGAAGAATCCTAGAGAGCGATGATCTTTAAAACAAAGATTTTGAAACCATTGGAAATAGAGTAAAGGGGGAACCTTAATGAAACCAGATGGAGTAAATCTAAAGAGAGAAACCTAACAAAAACTTGAGCGAGAAGAGGGAAAGAGAAGAACTAACCCATAAAACCAACCAAAAAGTTTATATAACGATACAACCTTATAATGTAGACCTATGGATGTACCTAAAAAATCCATGGTAAGTTTTAATGTTGAAAAACCTTGATCATCTCATCATATGACCATAAAAAATAAAAAGATCTTCAAGTCTCAGAAATAGTGTATTTTACAACTTATTATCTGCACCGTCCATTTTCAAGAATTTCATATGTTTATAGATCTACTTGATTTTAATCATTTTTAAAATTTTAAATTTTATAATTAGATATAAAAATAGAACCAAACCCTCTTTTAAGAGAGAGTGAGAGAGAGATTAGGATAACAAATAGCGAGGAAGAGAGTAGAAAGGAGCAAATATATTATTTCTTTTAACATTTTGTGTATTTAAAACATTAAATTATAATATATAATACATGTATGGGCATTGGGGATGTTACATGATTTTTAAAAATTAAAAAAGAGAAAAGATTAGGTTTTTAAAAGGGTATGGAGAAAAGGGAAAGCTTTCTATGGTCCCCGTAAAACATAGAAGTTCTATCCTCTCCCTATCCAGCCATCCATTTTTCATCAAGAGAGCCACTCACCGTTTGATCTTAGATTTGACGTCTCCAAGTATTTTATTTTTAGTTTTTTTATTACAATTTTTCTGAATATGAAAATTGGTACGTACCATCTTCCTTATTGGGGGCGCACCTATAAAAAAATATTAACAACCATTTTTCGATAAAAATAATAACCAAAATACCCTTTGAAAATTTCAGGGGTATTTTGGTTATTTTATTTTATTGAAAATATTTTTTTATATTTTTTGTTAGTGCGAGTTTAATAGAAGAATCGACCTCTAAAATTTGGTGTCAAAACAGTTTAAAAATAAAATAGTGTAAAGACATGACATTGTTGTTGGGGCAATCTTAGCCCTCCATTAAGAAAATGGAAGGTTGGATAAAGGGGAAAATAGAACTTTTATGTTGTGCGGGAACTTTCCCTGAAGAAAAAAACCATAGGTTTCTTTGTTGTGCTTGTGTTCTTGCTGATTTTAAGAAAAAAAACTATAGGTTTCTTCGGTGTGCTTGAGTTTCTTAAAATTCTCCCGCATCAAATAACCTCTATATAATCTTTCGATGTTTATCTTTTCTTCAGGAACATCTCGAGTGCATATAACTACGTTGCTTTTCAAAAAATTATTCCTCCTAATGGAGTGAATGTACGAGCATATATCATTAGGCTCAAAAAAATCAAGAAGAGACTCTGTAACATAATAAAAATAATAAATCAAACTCTGTAACATAATAAAAATAATAAATCAAACTATCTTTCAAACCAATGCGGTACAAAATGATGTATGGCATGATGAATTCAAATCGCGATCATCATCAAACAAGAAAATGTTGGGGCACTAATTGAAAAATCAGTAAAAACGAGCCAAAATATGGGGGGCACTTATTTACTAGATCCAAATATAACAAACAGAAATAGATGCAAATGTGAGGTCCAAACGCCCATGTTACCGTGACTGAAGAGATCACCATTGTGTTCATGCCAACGAGTATAAAAAGATTGTCTACAAAGAGACAACTTACTTTTTTGTACAATGAGGATACAGTTATTCTTCTCGCTTATATTTCAAAATGAATGGTTGTAAAAATGTCATTGAATAGACATGAAGTTCCAAAAAAAAAAAATTTCTCGGACTTCATGATTCACCCCAAGCCATCCAACTGGACATTTAATGAGTGGGAATAGTTGTGACTTGTGACCACCTTGTAATAAAGATAAATGATATCTTTTTAGATAATCACTTTATATAAAACAAGGGTGTAGTTAGCATAAGGTTGCAACCTTAAACAATCAAAGTAAGGTGCACCACAAAAATGTATTATAAGATGTAATTTTGGTATAAAAAATTCTTAGCATGGCTTGGAAATATATTCAAATATCTAATTATAAAATTTTATACTCAAAAAATGGTTTAAATCAAGTAGATCCATAAATACATAAAAATCTTGAAAATGGACAGTCTACATAATGTGTTAGAAGATGCAAAATATTTGAAACTCTACATCTTTGTTTTTCATGTTTATTCTCAATGTCGACAAGATCAATTAAAGGGTTTTCCAACTTCAAAACAGCCTTTTATAATGGATTTTGTAGGTGCACCTTAATTCTACATTAAGGTTGAAAACTTATATAAACTGTTTACTAAAAACAACACCAATTAAAGTCAAATTAGATGCCTTGCAGAAGTAACATTTTTTGACATGGATGTTATGGTATCTTACACCATGAAATTTAGATGAAGAGGAGATACTGAACACATGGAAAACCAAGGAAAACTATCTTACTTACGATAAGGTGATGACAAGTTATTCACGGGGTACATAAAATCCCACGTCAATTAGTCATGCTGGGGTAAAAGGGAATAGATAACTCATGAGAGGAAGGCAACTATTGGAGGAAATTTAGAACGTAAATTACAATGAGGAATCGAGCTTGGGTCAAGGCGGTAACAGCTGGGTTTTCATAGCACTACGTCTCAAGTTCTATTCTTATTTAACCTTGTCAAAAACAAAAACAAAAAAGAGGAATGGCAGTGTGGAGTCCAGATGTAGCTCGTGTGGTCATGATATAGACACCACCGGGCAACGATGGACACCTTCAAGAGAAGTGATGCAGAGAGGCATGAAATACTCATGTCCTCTCGTGCTTTGCCTCTCTCCTTTTATTTTCCAGACATGTAACGGCCGCAACCAACCAATGACTGTGTCAGTAGTCGCGACCTGACTATGTCTGGAACACACATATGCACACATACAAAGAAAGAGAGATACATTTGTTGTAGATGACGGCAAACGCAGTGGACAATGTAAACAACAAGATGGATGAAAGTAGTGAAAATGGTTATCCTTGTTCTTCTTTTTGTTGAGGTCAGCACAACACCTGAGTATGTGTGTTTTTTGTATAATGTAATCTCTTTTAACTTTAATACAATGTCAACAGTTAAAAAAAAAAAAAAAAAACGAGATATATGAAAGTAAATGATGCTCAATAAGTAGATTGAATAAGAATATAATTATATAAATTATTTCCTGATAGTCGAAAATAAAGAAGCATCAAGGGATCCAACACAAACCAATGTGTTTTGATAGTGAATGGTGTATGTGGGAAATGTTCTCTTCCAAGTAGACTATAGTGGAAAAGGGACATGACAGAAAAAAGATGACAAACTGAAGAAATAAAATATGGACTCAAGTCCAATACTATTACTAATAATAATGATAGTAACAAGTCATAGAATGGTTTGTTAGAGAAGCTCAAATTGAAGTTCAATCATTAAACAAAAGCACAGAGGAAGACCAGAAAAAGAAATTTCTGAAGAAGATAAACAGGAGAGCCAACGGCCCGAGATTCAATTCAGAACTACATGATTGTAAGCGATTAAAATGCTTCAGAGTCATAAAACAATTTATCATGTTTTTTAACCGCTTTCTAAAACAGATATCCACACCAAAAACCAAGAAAGCAAAATTTGAACCTTTTTCTAAAACAGAGGCCAGAGAGAAATGGATTATGAATTATTTCCCTAAAAGCCAGAGAAATGGGGACCATTTTCCCAAATGTATATGCTTAATCAGATGGTCGAGGAACAACTGCCTGGGTTCAATTTCCTAAAACCAACTCAATAAGTACCATTAGAACACTCTTAACAATGGCCCTAAAACAACATTTTCTACATAGACCATTACACTAAGTCCCATTATTAGGTAACACCATTGATGCCCCAAACCTAGCTGATTCAGAAACACTGCCTTAGGTCCTCATGATTCAGAGGCCATCACCATGAAACCACATATTTATACACAATGAATCCCCAAAACAGGGGAATCAGAGATATTAAGCCAAGAAGCCCCAGCAAATCAACTAGTGAGATGGTGATTCACAGAGATATCTAAGATGCAAGACTTAGATTCAAATGACTCGAAATATAATTTGCACAAAAACCAGATGATTAAAAAATACAGCTTGCTCCAACACCAAAGATCATCTCCTCTAAAACCAGACGATTCAATAGATTATTTGCTTTAAAACCAATCGATTCAAAAGATCATCTCATCTAAACACACATCATGAAAACATTACTTGCCGTAAAAGCAGGCGATGGGGCCACCATTTTCTAAACAGCCACGGACAAACATTCAAAATGAGGACAAAGTAAAACCCATAAAACAAACCCTACGTCCAATGGAACAACCATTAACGAGCAGGACCTCACCTTCGAGTGACTCAACAGGGTGTTGTCCTTGGCTTGTCGATTGTTTGGGAAGAACAGGAACCATGGCGTCTGAAACTTCCCTTAAGAAATCCGTCAAACATGAAAGTATTGTTGAGGAGAAACCCTAGAGCAAGAACAAGATACCCCAGAACGAAGCACCAAGACCACCTCTGGTTCGATATAACGAGGAGATGCAATGTGACAGAAACCCTAAAATTAGAGGGAGAGAGCATTGGTTTGAATATCGTTGAAGGGCCAGTGATGGTTATATAGATGGACTTGGCGATACTGTTATGACCGGAATGACCCTAGAGAGACATAAAAACCCTAATGCGCTGAGAGCAAGGCACCGTATCTATGCATCACGGTTTGCATACAACCATGTCCTATTAATATTAAGATATTGTAATTCTTAATTATACAAAAAGTTTTTTTAAGGTTGAAACCTTGCATCATTGATATAAGATGCACCTCAAAAGTATTGATGTTGGAGAATCCTCTAGTTGATCATCTCGACCTCGAGATGTATGAAAATGAGGAGAAAAAAGAATTTCAAATCCAAAAATAATACATTTTGTAACAAGTTATTTGGATTATTGATATACTCGATCAATACCATATTTTAAAATTTAAATTTTATAACTATGAATAAAAATAGATTTTTAAACCATTATAAAGTTTCCAACACCCGAATAGCATCTCTAAATAAATTTAAGCAGTGAAACTTACTAGTATAAAGAGGCAACCATATACAAACCTCACCCTTTTAATTATTTATGCTAAATTATGGACCCTTTTCTATCCATGTGTGTAGGATTCTAAAGGATCACCATTAAATTTGACACCGATCTATAAAAAAAATTAAATCTCACACCCATGTGATAACTTTTTTAGATATCCATGCTAAATTTAATGGTGATCCTTAGAGTCCTACACATATAAATGGAGAATGTCCTATAGGATCATTGCACATTATTTATTATTAAAGACTTACCATCCAGGAATTGTGTACAATAAGTCTTACGTATTTTTTAAGTTGTCATAGTCATCTCTATTTGTTTGATGTGAAATCGGGGGTTGGGGGTGTACTATTATGACCTTTTTATGCTAAAAGATAATTGGTCTAACTCTTAACCACCGGTTTCCAATCATTGATACGGGTGGCAATGAACCCATGCCTACCTCGGGAACCGTAGGGTATACCTGAACAAGTCTAGGTAGGGGTCCAACATTTGGACCTGGCGGGTTGGACTCGGGTCTAAATAAAACCTGGATCGGAACCCCATTCGGGTCTAGCTTTGAGTTAGGTTGGACCCGACCCGCACCCGTAAATTGTTGGAGATAAAATATTTCAAGCTCTATTTGTTTAGGTATATTAGAGATCGTATACAATAATAATTCATAATGATCTTTATTTATTACACGATAATAAGACAGTTTGAAATCTAACGGCGGTTTGTGATCTTATTGCCAATAATTTAAGTATATGATGGTAAAGAATAAGAAAAAAAAAAAAAGCTCATAGTGAGAGTGACAATGGACCCGACCAAACCCAAAACCTGACAGGATAGACCTGAAACTCGATGGGTATGGGTATGGGTCCTTAAACTACTCCAAGACTCCGACCCAGGGTTCCACTTGATTCCACTCGAGGGAGTGAATGCGTGATATGCCCCCACAGGAGTATTTATTTTTGAAAAAGGCACCCAAGTAAACAAGGCAAAAAATATCTATTTTTGTAAATTTAAAATTTTATTTCGTTTTTCATATGTAAATTCATCGTGGCCTAGATCATGATTCTTTTTAAAAATTGAGATTTAAGATGGATTTTAGAGAGGGATCACATGCACGTGAGAGTATGGGGACTCATAGAAACCCCATATTTTATTTTTAGCAAGTTTATGAACTTCTAAAAAAAAGTTATTTATGGGCCATAAGTAAAAGTTTGCAATCCCCATCACCCCCTCTTTTATTTTTAGCAAGTTTATGAACTTCTAAAAAAAAGTTATTTATGGGCCATAAGTAAAAGTTTGCAATCCCCATCATGAGAAAGGTAAAAGTTGGGCCTTTAAAGAGACAAGCTAAGTTGAACTCGTTATGGTTATGGGTGCGGTTTGTGTAAGGTTTGAACCTTATTTATAGAAATAATGTTGTGGTACTCGATACTATTTTAAAAGATGCATCAAATCTATACTATCCAAATAAAATAGATGGTGTAGATTAATGTAACTTTATTTTTATAAAAAGTTACTACCTTATATAAACTTGTAAGTATAAATTGGCCCCTTTTTTTTTAACCTTTTCTTTTTCTTTTTTCTCAATATCCTATTATTTGCATCACAAAAACAAAAGTCATTTGGTGCGTATAGAAGGGGTTTGAACTCAAGACATTTTACGTCAAGTTCACGGGGAACAACTATTGTATATACTACATTTATGTGTCATGATCTATAAATAGGGATTGTCTACAAAGAGACTATTTATCTTTTATACATGGAGGCCACAATCATTCATGTCCCTTAAATCCTCATTCATTAGATGTCAAATTGGATGGCTTGGGGGTGAGCATGAAGTTTGAAACATTTTTGGAACTTTGTGTCTATTCAATGACACTCTTACAACCACCCATTTTGAAATCTAAAGGACAAGAATGATTGTGACTTCTATGTACAAAAGATAAATGGTTTCTTTGTAAACAATCACCTATAAATATGTGTTAAAAATCTAATTATTAGCTTATAAAATATCAAATGTACAATAAGTGTCTTGCCATACTAGCTTTTTAAGCCGAAGTATTAGATTGACAAAGTCGCACATCATTAGGACACACATGTCTAAGTCATAGTAGCACTAGAAGCCTTTTGATGAGTTTGCTCCATGAGGTATAACTAAACATGAATTCACAAATAAAACTACATATTTATCCAAAAAATCAGTTCATGACTCATGTGCACATACAACATGGATCCTATAGACCATTTCATCGATGACAATTTGGGAATGCAGTGGTGTTGCTCAAATCTGAACTGTACTTGTAAGTTAGAAATTAAAAGAAGCTATCGTCATTGAGAACGTAAGAGATCACACCCTAAAAAGCAATCCCTAAAAGATTTAAATAATTACTTTCGGTAAATCTAAATCATTTGAAATTTTATGTGTGTGTTTCTCTCATCAAGACGTACCTAATAAAAATGTAAAAAAAATAATTTGTGAATTGTTTTGATCAAAATACCCCCCGAACATTTTCAGGGTTATTTTGGTCAATTTATTTCATATAAAAATTTGTTTGATATTTTTCGTAGATTCACTTAAAATTTCAAATGATTTGGATTTGTATAAAATATATTCAAATTCAAACACTATCAGACATCCGTGATCGTCAGATCGGTTCAAATTCAATCTGAACCGTAAGAGTTTGCTATAACAGTATGCACCTGGGTGAACAATAGGTGAATAAGTCTAAAGTCAGCTCAAAAGTAACTGCAAGACGAAAAACCATATGTTCGAGTGAGGAAGAAAACCAATTCTTTTTAATTGTAGAATAAACCCATAAGTTAGTCTGGATTTCAGGGAATTGGTACAAAATCAACCCGAAAATGGAAATAAAATTGGAGCCAAATGAACCCCATAAAAACCTTCAAAATGTGAAGCCCACCAAAACCTATATTTTCCATTCAACTGTTAGCAAAAGACAAGGGGAAGCCCCAACTGGGGTTCGGATGGTGTCTCAAACTCCCTTTGCCCCTTGTGTCAAAAGGCAAGGTTTCCCTTTCAATCTCGAAGCAGATTTCATGCCCAATATGCAATCTCAAACTCCCTTTCCCTTTTATTGTATCCCTTTTTCTTAGTCAAAGTTGCTGAAAAACCCTGACCAGGGTTTTGAGATGGTAATGGGATTTGCAAAGAGAAATGGAAGGGGAAGAGAAATAGTTGCTAGAGGGAGAGGGGCTTTGTTCTGTTGGTCGGCTAGGGAGAGAGTGGCTGTAGGGGTGGCAACGGGCGGGCTTGGTCCCTGGCCCTAGTTCCCAAAAACCCGACCTTGGCCCACCCTTGACTCGGCAAAAAAGCCCTAGCCCTAGCCCAAGTCCAGCCCTATCAAGCCAAGCCAAATAATATATATATAATGAAAGAAAAGAAAGCTCAACCTAATTTAACCAAGCCAACCCTCGGGCCAGGCCCCAATTTTTTAGGGCCGGGCTGCCACCCTACCGATTACCACCCTTAAGTGGCTGTGCTAAAATGGGGTTGCCACAAGAGAAGAGAAGGAAATAGAGTATTTATTCAGACCACAAGCTAGTATGGGTTGGTATGAAGTATTTTGGATGGGTCAGGGGAAATGCGAGTCTCGTTTTTGCAAACTTCCATTTCGACCCATTTTAGAGGAAAATGCATTTCTCAATTTACGGGGCTTAGGTCCATAAAGCTCGTAAAGGCCCCATAGATCTGTAAATGTCCTTAAAGGACCTAATAGCACCATAAAGGCCGCCCTAAGCACGCACTTAAAGCCCCAAGGCTGAGGGCCTTACGGATATAATAGTCTGTAAATGTCTCAACGGACTTGGCACCCTAAACAAGTGAGGACCTAACAGGTTCATAAAGGCCCTTGGCACCACTAGGGTGCTCTCCGTAATCCTATGGGCCATCCAAATGATGTAAGGACCGGTCAACCTCGGCACCACGTAAAGGCCCTCCCACCTTGTGTGAAGGTTGTGGCTGTATGGACCCACTTCGTGAAGGTTTCAAGCACCCCACATACACATTCATACAATGAGAGAGACAATAGCAGAACATGGTAACATAAACCCAACAAGCAAAGCGATCCACATAGATAAACACATACATGGCACTAAGAACACAGCTTTTTGTTTGAAGTTCAAATGAAATCAGATCATATCTAAAGGCTTCATTAAACATGCATAAAGAGAGAGGGACGGGGGGGAGTGTGAGCGTTCAAAATCTATAACTTCATATAGGTTTTTTACATGTCTTTCGGTTATGGCCCTCCTCCCCACAGAGCTTACACACATAAGGCCTTGTGTCTCTAACCTCTGTCTGTATATGTCGTTTCTTACAAGGCCTTCCGACAGGCCTTCCGACAGTGGCTGTTATATTTCTTGTGTATTCCTTCTCATGCGAACCATCTCTCATCTTAAGCGCAAGCTCTTTACCTCGCCATGCCTGCTGGTAAGACAGTGTGACACCATATTCACGTTGTACATCATGTATAATGTCTCTGGGTGTCAGATCAAGTTGGTCAAGTAGGCGCCCTTTGATCTTTCTTGCCACCCATTGGCTTCGAGCAAGTGGCTGATGAACGCTCCCTATTGCACCAGCACATGAATGCACATTCACAAACCTCCTCACCCTAAAGTTACCTGTCTTACCAACCTTTGAACAATGCACTCGCCATGAACACCCATCTGCAGCACACTTCGCCCATACACGTCCGACCTCACTTTTTACAAATCTCAAAACGAAGTTATGTGATATGGCATAATCAACAAGATAATTACGACATATATGTACGTCATCAAACTCCTGACCTTGCTGAAGTACAACTTCGTAATGGTCCATTCTGACGGGACTTTCTATAGGATCGATGTTACGCTCAATCTCTGTCTTGTGATCAATCTTTAGACCTGCGACAACACCCTCATTGAGTACAACTTGCTCGGCCATAGATTCACAGGACCGCCTGTTAAAAAAAGAAGAATAAATGCTCAGATCTCTCAATGACCTATAGCCCAACATAACCACTAAAAAACCATAAATCAAACATGAAGAAATTTTTAAAGCAAACTTCTTACGTCTCCCTTGTTGATGGGCCATTCTTAGGTAGTGAAGGTTGATTTTCCACTGGGTACAAATCAATTGGTCGGTTTGATATGCACATAGCAATTGGCGGAGGGGTTTCCAACATATTTGCTACATCGCCATCATCACTGACATCTACCATAGTCATGTGACTTGGTAACTCTGGGTCACTATACATAATTGTCATGGTTTCCGGGTCGTAACGCGTTAAATTCGACAAATGAGCCTTAAGTTGATTGAAGGAACCGGTTCGCGGAAAAAATGTGACCTTCACCTTCCCACCATTATAGAAAAGCCGCCCATCATTTGAGTTTCTCTTGAAACAGCCATCGAAACAGAATGCTAGTTTTACTCTCTCATCACCCATCGTTGATGCTTGCAAGCCGAATAACTTCTGAGAAATCCAAATTCTCAGAGGGAAACAAATACAAAAGCAAATAACTGAGACCAATATAAATGACACGAAGGGGAAGACAATACATTAAATACATGAAATGATAATTTCTTACTTAAACATCAGATACCAATACCATTTCAATTAAACAATAGCTGATAATATATGTAAAGAACGGGGTCTATAGAGATCAATACATTATAAATAAAGATCTAACACTTACTGCTTTGATATTAGAAACTGAAACCAAATGCACTAAGCAATCTTTGAAAGAGCCAGAAACAATATCAATTAATACAAAACAAAGGCCTAACAATTCATACAAAACAGAGGCATAATAAAGCAAAACAATTCATAAAATGCATGCAAAACAGAAGCATTACACAACATTGAATCGCAAAAAATATTCAATAATAAAAAAAAGCTAAGCAAAACTAAAACCAAAACAAAATTTTGTTCAACAGAAAAATAAGCACTAATACTACAACAACAAACACAATAAACCCAATAAACCCAATAACTCATAGAAAAACTAGGATTGAGAGAGAGAGAGAGAGAGAGAGAGAGAGATGAAGAAGAGATAGGACGAGAGAGATGAAGAAGAGATAGGAAGATAGGAAGAGAGGAGATGAAGAAGAGATAGGAAGAGAGGCTAAGTGTGAAAGAGACAGATAGCGAGAGAGGCTAAGAGTGGAGCAGGACTAAAGGCTTGTTAGTGAAAGAAAGAGATCTTAGGTGCCTTTACATGTCGTGTGTGTGTGTGTGTGTGTGTGTGTGAGAGAGAGAGAGAGAGAGAGAGAGAGAGAGAGCTTATGTGGAGGCCAAGACGTGGGGGAGTTAAAGACCTTCATGGACCTAATAGGTATGATTCAATTTTTGAATGTTCCTAGCTCTATAATGAAGCTTGTATTATCCTTTTTTTATGTCACAAACATTAGATCTACATATTTGTTTACCATGGGAGAGAGGTGATCTAGAGGCACTCCGCATGTAGAGGAATTTCAATGCCATGATCACTTTCAACTGATGCTAGTCGAATGAAAGACTCAACAACAATCCTTGAAGTGATCCACTTATACAATCAAAAGAGACTGTGACGATCTTTATAGCCTCTCATCACATCACCTTTCATTTTTTTATCATGAATTACATATCCTTTTTTTAGTTTATTCAACCACACCATGAGTGGCCAAAGGCGTCAATTAGGGTCTTTTCAACTCCCTCATGGTTCTCTGGAACTGTTTAGCAAGCCATGAGCTTGAGGAGCTTTGGAGCTTCGACAGCTTGGCTCTCAATTTATATCAGTAGAGGTTTATCATGGATTGATAGTTTGCGCCCTATTCCAAATTATCACTTATGGCAAAAAGGTACCAACTAGGTTACTCTCGTCATCGATTTGGTTAAAAGAACAAATTACTACTCTGTTAATATAGTACTGACAAATCACCGACTTATTTTGCTAATGATTAAGAAAAAGTATGGATCAATTATTGACACATTAGTGAGTAGCAACTTGTTTCCATACCAGATAAACTACAATTTGTAAAAGAGAAATTACATTATGTTATTCATAAAAAAATAGTTCAAATATGTAATCACACAATCAGTAATTTCTCTGTAAATTTCATCAGATTACAAAATCACAAAGAAATCATCACAGAGTAAAATTGCAGAAAAAATATTAGTCATTGAGTAATTACAATTTAACTGTAATTAGTCCGTAGTTTCTTTGTTATAGCAATTTAGAATTCTCTGCGATTACAAATATGTCTAGATTAATTTCTCTGGTTACTAACAAACTGGTCATTAATATTTTCTCTAATATATAACAAACCACAGATAAATTACAGAGATAAGCACATAAAGCATAGCAATCCCCCATTTATTAACAAACATTATCGTGATTAACATACAAAATCTCCATAATTTCAATATTAATGAACAAATTACAAAGAAATTACAGATATCAATTACATATCACTTACAGAGATATATCTGGATTTCCCTGAGAATCACACCTGGTATCCGAAGATCGGGATTGATCGATTACTCTGTTTTGGTCCAACTCAAAAACATTCAATCTGGAAATGATCGAACTCAAACTCCTCGTGTCAAGGACAGCTTAGGGTTTTGAGATACAGGGTTTCAAGCGATTGCAGTTTAGAAAGAGATGGGGTTGCAGTAGAAGGAGAGGCATCGAGCGATGAGGGTTTGAAGAGAAATAGAGGCCACAGGGTTTCAGGTCGCACTGGCGGACATCGGATCACAGAGAGAGACAAAGAGAGACAGTCTTCGGTATAGGGATCCGGTTTCCCGCCCTCGAACCAATTATAGTACAAAGGAGGAAGTTTCTATAGAGCCTAAGCTTTACGAAAACAAAATAAAGCTTCATCTCAAATCTTCACGCAGAAAGCACTTTTGGCCTTAGATATTGCCACGATGGATTTTATGAAAACAAAATAAAGCTTATCTCAAATCTTCACGCAGAAAGCACTTTTGGCCATAGATATTGTCACGATGAATTTCTAGTACCGGTAATAAAATTTGAAAATTAAAATATGGTACAAATCTTCAGGATTTATGAACACTTAATATTTGGATGAAATGGACGGTTTAGAAAATTTTTTAAGATATACTCAATTTTTAGAGGTTTAATATATTCAAGCCGAGATGATTGATGTAAATGTTTTTCCATGCTTGAATTGTAAGTTTTGATGAATTATGAGGTCAGGGTTTACTTATTTTAATGAAAAGAGGTTTAATGCAATTGTTGTATTATGGTATAATACAACGACACTTCTAGAAAATCATATTTGTGGTATTTGTATGACTCAAAATTTTGCACACACTCTCTTCATCTAATTAATCAATCCCAAAAAAGAAAAAACAAAGTTTTAATTTGAACCCTAGATATGGTCAAAATGAGTCCCCTCCAACAACGAATCTAGGCCATTCATTTGTAGAATTTCAAGATCGTAGCCTTTACAAATTCAAAATCATTTTTTTCTTTTTTTTTTAAATTGTTCATCTAATGATAATAAAGCCATCTTAAAAAATTAAAAATAAAAAACTCATTCTAAGGCCTAGATCTAACCATCTTATCAAAATGGATGGCGTATGTTAATTAGGCTAAAAAATACTTTCTAGGTTCCATTTTCCAATTTTTCGTTTTTTTGATTGTTCATTAGAATGAAAAGAGTGTATATTTCAAATTTTGGATCAAACAAAAGTCTCTAACATGGTTCTCTAACATGGGTTTTGAAGATTGTTGTATTATATTAATATACAACTGTTTCGTGAAATCATTGCCCTATTTTAATAGGGTCATAAGCTTATCAAACCATTTTCCTTATCCAAACCATTGAAGCAAACAGATATGGTGCTCCGATGAGAAGGGTTGACCGCCCGAACCTAGGCTTGACTGGGCCCAACCTTACCAGGGCTAGGCTTGGTAAAATTAAAGCAAAACAATACAAAAAAATAGGAAAAATAAGGGTTAGACCAGGGCCGGCATGCCTTGCCCTATCTTAGATCCTTGATTTTTAGGGGCCTGGTCGGGCGACCTGGCCCATTGCCACCCCTACCTGCGAGTGCATATTGTCTAATTACTCCTTCAAGTCAAATTCAAGCTATAAATATTTTAGGACCCCAAATTTTGGTAAGATAAGGAGCAACCTAATTGGAGGATCTATTTAGAAGATTTTAAGGGGAGTTATTTTGTGGGAAGTGTGATTGGAAAGAAATTAAAAAACATTTGAAGGGTGGTTTGTAGCTTTGAGAGGGTGTTAAACAACATCAAATAATATCTATGGTAATGGTTATCCGTTACTAAGGAAGGATGAGGAGTTATCTTGTGGGAAGTGTGAATGGAAAAGACTTGAAGAACATTTGAAGGGTGGTTTGTAGCTTTGAAAGGGTGTTAAACAACATTAAACAATCTTTATGGTCATGGTTATCAGTTACTAAGGAAGGAAGAGGAATATCTAGGACTAATGTTATGATTAATCTTTCTAATCTATTTCAACTGGATGTACCTAGAAATAGACCACGCGGTAGATGAAAGCCACCAGACCAAGGTATTTTAAAGTTGAATTTTGATGGTAGCTCTTTGAGCAATCCATGCTCAACTGGATTCGGTGGAGTGGTTTGTGATTGGCAAGGAAATGTAATAGTTGCAGATGGTGGCCCGTGTGGAGTTATTACGGCAAACCATGTTAAATTACTTGCTATTTTCTATGGTTTGAAATCATTGGTGGCCAAAAACTTTGGAGGTGGATTTATTGTTGAAAGGGATTCACTGAATGTTGTTAAATGTTTTAAGAAAGAACAACATTTCCCTTAACAATTTAAATTGATCGGATTGCAAATCTTTGATTTGATATCATTGTTGATTTTATCCCTAGCACATGTGTATAGGGAGGCAAATGATGTGACTGATTTATTTGCTAAGAGGAGAGTGGATTTGGATTCTCTTGTAATCGTTGATAATATAGATTCCATGATGTAAGTCGCATCTATTATTAATCAATTTTGAATTTTGTCCAAAAAAAAAAAAGAGCAAAATAAACGCCAATTGATAACTACTAAGTCTAAAATTCCTCAATTGATTTGCATGAAACCAACAATTGAGCAGGAGGGTGCAGCCTCATAATCTCTTTCCCTACCGCATTTGATGTTTGCTTTTGATCAAAGTCAAAGAAAAAGCAGCTATTTTTTCTGATACAAAAACAACAGTAAAACAAATTCAATTTCTTTGTGAAATAATGCTCATGTGATTTAATCTAAATTATATTCGAACATTTTCTAGACAAAAGCACATAATTTAGATACAGTTTAGAGTAACAGTGACCTAGAAAATGTGATCATGTGAATCTATTGATAATTTTTCTGCTGCAAAAATGGCAGCAGAAACAACAGTAGTTGATTATAAAATAGCGTAATTTTGAGTTACAAAATAAATAATAATCGTAAATACTTTCCAGCTATTGATTTGTAATTCAAGAATAAATTGCAATGAAAATCCATCGTAATGAATGAAAGCAAAAACAAATTGAAATTAGACAACATTTCAGTCTTCAACTCTAAACAATATCTTCTGAGCTAAGTGCTGCCTTGGATGCTTAATAAGAGAGGAAAAGTTACATAGAAGTTGTAGATATTAGAACCACCTTTAAACCAATTAAACACATCAAGTGATTCTTGTATTTACTAAAGATTCTTGTAAAGCATTGGACAAAATGATTTCCAGAACAAGAGAACGCTAGATGGATACTGTTATTCATGAAAGTTTGAATTGCAAGATCCTTTCAACTAATGAACATACTTTGTCAAACAAAACAACTACAACTTCTGCATGGCAGTAGAGAGAATATGGCCAGCATTTACAGCGATTAAATTGGGACGAAAAGTTTGGGGTGGTTGCAGCGGCACAGTCTAGCAGCCGCCATTAACAGGGTCATTGGCGTGTCAAACAACTCGCTCACTCCTCTCATCCCAAGAAATTCTTGATCCCTTGATAAATCAGTGAAGTCTCCATTTACCACCTCACCCAATGCACCCATCCCCCCAAAAAACGAAATAACTGTTCAGGGGAGGGAGAGAGATTTCAACAATATTCCCATATCGTGAAAACAAATCTATGGAAGAAGAGGGGCTCGGGGTGAGAGAGAAATTCCACCAATGTTCCCTTGCATAATGAAAACAACCGAAAAAGAGAGAGAGAGAAAGAGAGGCTTAGAGGGAGAAGGAGACTGAGAAAGAGGCACAGAGAGGGCTGTAGAGAGAGATACATACCTAGAGAGAGATAGAGAGACCAAAACATTAGATTGGGCCTTACTTGGAAGTAGTTTTGATGGAGGTGAGGATGGGGCAAGAAGCGGGGGGAGAGAGAAAGGGGAGGAGTAGGGAAGAGAAAGTCAGAGGGAGGGAGGAGACGGCAGGTAGAGAGAGTGAAGAAGGGAAATATTGATAAGGGCAAAGCAAAGCAAAAAAATTAGTTGGCTTTGAAATTGAATTCAAATTTGGTATTCAAACTTTAATGACAATAACTTTTATAGAGATCCGTGCCAACTTTAATGGTGGTCCTTTGGAGTCTTACACACATAGATGGGGGACGGTCCTACACACATGGGTGGGGGAGGGTCCTATATGATCATTACTCTTTTGAAAGAGAAATGATCCTATAGGACCCTCCCCACTCATGTGTAGGACCCCAAAGGATCACCATTAAATTTGATACGGATCTATAGAAAAGTCAAGTCCCACACCCATGTGATAGCTTTTCTAGAGATCCGTGCCAACTTTAATGGTGATCCTTTGGGGTTCTAACACATGGGTGGGGGAGGGTCCTATAGGATCATTACTCATTTTGAAATAACTCTTTAAATTTAGTATGAGGTGAATATTTAGATATTAATACTATTCATTGTATTAAAATAATCTTAAGAGAACATCCAAATTATGCAAAAAGATAACATTCAAAGATATAACAGATTGAAAGATCGAGTTATTGTCCGCTATTAATTTGTAGCTACAAGAAAGGGTACAATATACAAAACATCATTTCTCTATACAAGTCATAATTTCTAAATATATTCTGGTGACCGGATAATGTAATGCTATATTATGTAGGAAGGTATAACATAACCAATGTACTATCTTGGATAGTTTGTCACAAAAGAATAGATTAAGAGGCTAATGCGGTCCTTGTTGGGGAAGATTTTACCGGGGCAGGACTTGAGTGGACAATTGAAAAAGATGAGGAAGAGGGGGACTATAAGTATGGTGGTAGCACTGAGAGTGATGATGATGACAACAAAAAATGAGGACACTATCATTTCAACCCCTTCCAAAAATATTAAGGGATTTAACCTTTAATTGATTTCCTTTCAGGTGGCATTGTGAATTGTCCATAGATATGAAAGATCCCCTTCCATAGAAGCTACCCTCTTTCTTCAAAATTTTCTACCGGCATGGGCCAATTGAGCCTTTTAATTTTCAGACAAGCCCAACCTCTTTGCTTTCACACCTCTCTTTCTGGAACCCTCAAAAGTCTCTCTTTTCCTTCTCTCACATGCAATCTCTCTGATCCATTGCTGGTAAAAAGCCCCAAATTCCTCAAACAAAGCCCCCACGGCCAGAACTTGAAGCCCCACCTGAAAACTTCTTCGTTATTTTTTGATAAAGTTAACATTGTATTTAAAGAGAGACGTAATACATAGGTCCAAAGAGAGCACCCACAAGCTGGGCCTCTCAGCCAAAAAATAAGGTATCCTCAAAGAAGAGGTCCTGTACAAAAAATGAGGATCGTATAACAGCGCCCTTTACAATGATGTACAAAACGAAGGCAATAACAGGGGTTGC